ACAAAAAACAAAACAAAAAAACCCCTTCAGATTGGCCTTTTATGTTAAAGGCCCCCTAATTAGCAGCCTTATTTAGTCAAAGAGAGAAAAATAAATTTGCCTGGTTTGCATCACTTTAATGTTCTTCTGCCTTTGTAAATCACAAATAAATGTACCTTTAATGTCAGTGAATTATATTCATTTGGTTTTTTTTTCAGAGAGATCTATTAAGTTATACTTCACCCCTTCAGATTGGCCTTTTATGTTAAAGGCCCCCTAATTAGCAGCCTTATTTAGTCAAAGAGAGAAAAATAAATTTGCCTGGTTTGCATCACTTTAATGTTCTTCTGCCTTTGTAAATCACAAATAAATGTACCTTTAATGTCAGTGAATTATATTCATTTGGTTTTTTTTTCAGAGAGATCTATTAAGTTATACTTCACGAAAGAGATTTTGCTCCTTAGTGTTACAACGGCTTATACAGGTAATGAAACAGATAAAAGGACACAACCATTTGCTAGTGTCATGGTATATATGGGACACTAAATGAGAACCCCTCAATCAGGATTATATTCTTGTATCCCAATACACATTACTTCAACATATTGGAGTTTATGGCCCTTTTATATTTTTTTGTACTACATTTCTGAAAAATGCTCTTCTGTAGATTAATCTTTTTGTACCTAACCCTAACAAAATTATGGGATTTAATAAAAGTTGTTAAACTCAGTTTAGGGTAAGCCAATTTGTATCTTGGTTAGGGCATGGTTCATTAATCTGTTTTATTACATAGTTTGTTCTTGTTTATAATGGGCTGATTGAATCATGTTAGCACACAGTTAAATTGCAGCAGAGTCTAATAATGGTAATTAAATTCATTTTTGTAGATGAGATCTTTAATATTAGCTCCATCAGACTTGCAGTCAAGTGTAGGAGATTTTTGTAAGAGCTCTTGTCTTAAATGCCATGTGTGCATTAGGAAGTTGTTCCAAAGATTTCCTACATTGTAATCACTGGTTTGGCTCTGTATTAGGGCTGCCCCTGGATGTGTAGTGCCTGTCTGCAGCAGGTCACTAATCAATAAGAACAGTCATGCTGGGTTGGGCCAAAGGTTCACCTAGCCCAGTATCCTGTATTCTAGCAGTGGCTAATGCCAGATGCCCCAGGAGAAATGAACAAAACAGGTGATCGTCAAGTGGTTCATCCCCTGTCACCCATTCCCAACTTCTGGAAAACTGAGGCTAGAGACACCATTCCTACCCATACTGGGGCCCATTGATGGACCTGTCCTCAATGAATTTATCTAGTTATTTTTTGAACCTTGTTTAGTCTTGTCATTCACAACATCCTCTGGCAAATAGTTCACAGGTTGACTGTGCATTGTGTGAACAAAAACTTCCTTTTGTCTGATTTAAACCTGCTGCCTATTAATTTCATTTGGTGACCTCCTAATTCTTGTGTTACCAGAAGGCATTAATAACACTTCCTTATCTATTTTCTTCACACCTATCATTATTTTATAGCCTTCTGTCATATCGCATCTTAGTCATCTCTTTTCCAAGTTCCAATATTATTAATCTCTCTTCATATAGAAGCAGTTCCAAGCCCCTCATCATTTTATTGACCTTTTGTGAACTTTTTCCAATGCCTACATATTTTTTGGGGGGGATGGGATGACCACATCTGCATGCAGTATTCAAGATGTGGGTGTACCATGTATTTATAAACAGGCAATATGATATTCTCTTTGGGTATGTCTACACTGCATTCCTCTTTCGTGAGAGGAATGCAAATGCAGGTAAACAAAATTTCAAATGAAACACGGATTTGAATTTCCTGTGCTTCATTTGCATAATTGCGTCCGGGCGCTATTTTGAAATACCCTATTTCGAAAAAAGAAATGCTGTCTAGATGCGGTTATTTCAAAAGACCCTATTTTGAAAAAAAGAAACGCTGTCTAGACACTGTTATTTCGAAAGAAAACCCTTCTTTTGAAATTACCCTTACTCCTTATAAAATGAAGTTTAAGGGTAATTTCAAAAGAAGGGTTTTCTTTCGAAATAACAGTGTCTAGACAGCGTTTCTTTTTTTCAAAATAGGGTCATTTGAAATAGTGCCCGGATGTGATTATGCAAATGAAGCGCATGAAATTCAAATCCGCGCTTCATTTGCAATTTCGTTCACCTGCCTTTGCATTCCTCTCTTGAAAGAGGAATGCAGTGTAGACATATTTGTCTTATTGTCTGTCTATTTCTTAATGATTCCCAACATTCTGTTTGCTTTTTTGACTACTGCTGCATATTAAGTGGATGTTTTCAGAAAACTATCCATGACATTAGGATTTTTCTCTGAAGTGGTAACAGCTAATTTAGACCCCGTCATTTTACATGTATAGTTAAGGTTATGTTTTCCAATGTGTACTACTTTGCATTTATCAGTATTGAATTTCATCTGCCTTTTTGTTAAGTCACCCATTTTTGTGAGATCCCTTTGTACCTTTTTGCAGTCTGCATTGGGCTTAACTAGCTTGAGTACAGGTTGGACCTCCCAAAACAGGGACTCCCTCATCCAGCAACATCTGTGGTCCTGCCTGGGAGCCCCAGTGGCAAAAGGGCTGGTGGCTCAGAGCCCAACGAAGCTGGAGCTAGGTTGAGCACCAGAGCTCCAGTAGTGCAGCCGGGGCCGGGGCAGCCCCAGTAACAGGGCTGGGGACGTGGCAGTTGCAGCAGCTGTCGTAGTGGGCCAGAGACGTGGCAGCCGTGGTAGCAGGGCTAGGGCCAGAGATGCGGCAGCTGCAAAAGTGGGACTGGGGCTGGATGCATGTCAGCCCTGATGCTGGGGCTAGAGCTGCAGCAGCCACAGCAGCCCCGATAGCGGGGTTGGAGCCAGGGCAGTCCAATCCTTCCCTCCCCTGAGCAATGAGGCCTGGAGACTGAACAGGGGGCCTTGCACCTGCAACAGGGGTTGGGAAGCAGGCAGCAGGAAGGGGAGCAACCTGGACTCAGCCTTCTCCACTCCACTGGCTCCAGCCATTTTGCTCCATTTCCCACCTCCACCCCTGGTTTAAAGTAGGACTTCATTTCAAAATGTCCCCCCAAGGTCGAATTTATAAGCAGAGCATCCACACTACCGAGCCTATTATTTCCAAATAATGGGTGACAGAATTTGAAATCTGTACTCCTGCTTTTCATCAGGAGTAATGCTAATATTTCAAAATAACAGTAGTGTGGACACTCCGGTGCTGCTATTTTGAAACAATTACTCCCCAGAATAATTCAAACTAGTTACTCGCCAGAGCTTTCTGGGGCTCTAAGTCCAAAGTAGCACATCCCCATTAATGGAGCCTGACTTGGACTAACTTCAAGTCTTCCCCTGTAGCACGGACATGCTAGTTTGATTTTGTTAAATTGGGAGTTACTTAGTCGAGTTTAATAATTTCAGAATAATTTCCTTGTGAAGTCGTAGCCTTAGGCATTGCCAGCAAGTTAAGGCAGTGTGGACTGGATAAATGGACTGTAAGCTGGATAGAAAGTTGGCTAAATTGTTGGGCTCAATGGGTAGTGATCAACGGCTCGATGTCTGGCTGGCAGTTAGTATCAAGCAGAGTACCCCAACAGTCGGTATTGGGGCCAGTTTTGTTCAGCATCTTTATTAATGACCTGGATGAGGGGATGGATTGCACCCTCAGCAAATTTGCAAATCACACAAAGCTAGGGGGAGAGGTAGATAAGTTAGAGGGTAGGGACAGGGTCCAGAGTGACCTAGACAAATTGGAGGACTGAGCCAAAAGAAATCTGATGAAGTTCAACAAGAAGTAATGAGTCCTGCACTTGGGATGAAAGAATCCCAAGCATTGTTACAGGCTGGGGACCGACTGGCTAGGTAGCAGTTCAGCAGAAAAAGACCTGAGGATTACAGTGGATGAGAAGCTGGATATGAGTCAACAGTGTGCCCTTGTAGCCAAGAAGCTAACAGCATATTAGGTTGTAGTAGGAGAAGCACTGCCTGCAGATCTAGAGAAGTGATTATTCCCCTTTATTCTGCACTGGAGAGGCCACGTTTGGGCTATGTCGACACTGCCCAGTCTTGTGCAAGAACATATGCAAATGAGGCATGGCAATGAATATCGCCGCACCTCATTTGCATACTTAACGAGCCGCCATTTTTGCACAAGGGGCTTTTGCGGAAGAAGGAGCCAGTCTACAATGTTCCTTCTTGCGCAAAAAACCCCTCTTGTGCAAGAGCCGTTCTGCCTGAAAATCGCTGCGCCTCATTTGCATATGCTCTTGCACAAGACTGGGCAGTGTAGACAGCGGCAGATATAGGGCCGGGCGAGCAGGGCGGCTGCCCCAGGCCCCGCACTTCACTAGGCCCTGCTTTGACGTGTCTTTGAGCGCTTTGATGTGGCTTTTGTTCCTCTGGACGTCGACCCCAGTCACAGCCCGCTCCTTCTCAATGACCTCCAGGAACTGCAAGGGCTTCTACTTGGCGAAGTCCACGCTCCACTGAGGAGCTGGGTTAAAGCTGGCCACTGTCTTCTGGACAGCTTCTTTTTCCCTTTTTCTTTTGGCTGCCTGGGGTTGCAGATGCCGCGGGAGCAGCAGCGCCTGGTTGTGCTGCATTCATCGCAGTACAGAGGGGACGCAATTTCTCCGGCTGCCAGCACCACCCCACCCTTCTTCTTTAGAAGCCAGTTGGCTCTTCACTTTGAGCAGAGCCACTCTCGCCCCTTCATGCCACCCACTGGAAGCCAGAGCTGCTGCAGGCTGCTATTATAGCCTGGACCCGGATGCAACCGAATCAGTTTCCCGGCCCTCCTTTCTCGGCCTCTCTGGCTCTCCTCGAAAAGTGCGTGTCTGAAACCCTGAAATCCCAAGAGCCACCTGAGGCCTCCCATTATTCCACACCAGCCACGCATTTTGATCGGAGCTGGAGGGTGTTTCTTTCTCTAGCCTTGCTCCTAAGGAATGACCCATCACTTGCTTGGGAGCAAGGTGAAGTGGGAAGAAGGGGCGGTGGGACAACAACACCAAAGCTTCGCACACACCCATGGTTCTGCGCTCAGACTGGACCAGTATTTGAATTTTTTTTCTTGCGACGAATGTTAAATTTCGCCACCTTGTCTCTAAACTGAAAGAGGAACAGGAATTAATGAACAAATAAATTGATTTATGAAGGAATTCAACAGATGATTTGGTGCGGGTGGGGAGGAATGGTTTTTAAATGGAGCGGGTGAATTTATCAGAAAAGATTATCAAGGATCCAACCCCATGTTCTAGAGGTCCCTAAACTCTGAATGCCAGATGCTGGGATTAGAGTACAAGCAATAGATCGCCAGGCAAGTGCCTTGTTCTGTTCATGCCTTCTGAAAGATCGGACACTGGCCACTTCAGCTGTTTGTGTTGACAGTAGAGGTGAAGAGATTGAAGGAAAGAAAAGAGGCTCCTTCATTGGTTTATTTAGGATCCTCATTGAGTCAGCGGA